GGCTGAGGGAGCTTCCTGGGCATTACTCCCACTCATAATGACTCCACCTTCACAGTCCAATCACTTCCCAAGGGATCTACGTCCTAACATCACTAAGGGTTAGAACTTTAATAGATGAATCCTATTCAGTCTATAGTAGGTATGAAGATATCTTCACCATGGGAAATAGAAGTATCTGAATCTTGTCCTATCATCCTTCCTGCAGGGTACCCGAGGAAGAGAAATGAAGCAGCTACAACTAGACCACTTTATGTTGGTAGATCCTTTCCTCTAGTAAAAGCTGACCAGGCTTCTGACTTCTTAAGACAGAGCTCAGTGCAATGCACTTAGTATACAGGCCACTGCCTGACAGAACAGTCCTTGTACTTGTCTCCTGCAACACTGGGTACAGGCTAGAGTTTACAACTAGGGAACAGCTTCTTACCCAATTGAGATACACAAACCAATCCCATTAGGGACTTTGGCTCTTCCACTTGCCTCTTTACTCAGTAACAGCTCTCCAAGAGGGAAAGGGGAGAGGCAGCGAGGTTGCTAACTCTATCTTAGTTTGCCAATTCAAGCTTTAAGACATGGGATCCAGAGAAGAAACAGTATTTCTTTATGTTGTTTCAAGGAGATCAAGTTTTAAGAGGCGGCATTATTACTAGGTCAGATTGCACTAGGTCATATTTCTGCATATGTGCAATACTTAAAATATACAACTATGTATTGCTTTCCTAAGGATTATTAATAATACATCTATAACTACTCAGAGACTGGCTATAAACTTTCAGAGACAGAATGAGAATGTAATCTGTCTACAACAAGAGAGATGAATCACTTCAATAAATTCTTTATAATGGTGTCTCATCTCTGCACCTCTTGGATTGGTTATGAGTCTATAGTTAATCCTTCAATACCCCCCCCCCCAAGTACCTCATTATTCATTAGACTGTGACATCCTGGGTCATAAAAGAGGTACTGTTATATAACCCTGGAGCTGTATAGTAGTCTCAGGTCATGAATATTAAGAGACAGGCTCAAATGACAGATTAATAAAGACCTCCCATTGCGTTTACCCAAAAAATAAACTAGAAGCAGGCACAAAGCGTCCTGGCAGGCATTCTTACACAGGGAGAGGCGGGTGCAGCCCTGTGTCCTTGGCAGCTTTCAAATTCACTGTCCCTTCTCTGCAATGATGACCATCAGTAGGACAGACCTAGCAGTTTTCCTGTTGTATATTTCACTCTGCTTTCATTTCATCCTTCAGGCTCTTGCCTGAAGGTTACAGCAATTTCACGAGTGAGCTGTAGAGCACTTAACTGGTTAGTTTGGTCCATTTACATTTATTGTGCTTACTGCTATTAGGATTTATTTCTTCCTGGCCCTATTTATCCAATTTTCTCATGTCTATTTTTCCAGCTTAACTGCTTTTTTTTTGGACTAAGGTTTTTTTTCCTTAATTCAACAGTTCTTTTCTACTGGGCTGGAAGTTATGAATTTTATTTCGTTTATTTTAGTGGTTCCCTTGACATGTGTATCTAAAAAAATCCCATGTGTACCTAAAGTTCACAATGTTAATGAATTTAATTAATGAATTTTCCAGCTCTTCAAACGATGCAAGAAATTATACAGATGAAATAAGAAATGACCCAACTTAGATGCTTTTAATGTCTAGTAATATACTTCTCTAGACTTACATTTCACAAACCCTATAAATTAGACTTTTTTTGGAGATAGGATTTCACTATGTAGTCAGGTGGCCTTGAACTCACTATGGAGTCCAGGCTGACCTTGAACTCACGGCAATCCTCCTGCTTCAGCCTCCTGAGTTCTGGGATTAATTACAGGTGTGTGCTACCACACTTGGCTCAAAGTATATATTATATAGTTAATATTAACTTTATATTATTTATTAGACTTTATACTATTTAATACAGAAAACATTTGACTCATACATTTGCCAATTTCCTTGTTATTCCTTACATTTAAGGCCTTCCATCTGGAAAATTTTTTTCTTATTCCCGAAATACACCATTTAGAAATCTGTAAATGAGGGTCCATCTGTAAAAATGTTATGTTTAAAAAAATCTGAAAATGCTTATTTTCCCTCATGCTTTTAGATTATTTCACTGACTCCTTAATCCCAAATTGGTAGTTATTTTCTATCAGTACTTAGAGATATTATTTCACTATCTTATGGATCCCATGGTGCCTGGTGAGAAATAAACCATCAGTTTAAATGTTATTCTTTTACAATGAACCTTTCCCTCTGGCTTTAAGGCCATCTATTTATGTGCAGTTTCACTGTTTAGACAGCCAGGTGTGGAGTTCTCATTATTTATTTTTCTTGTAACTCATGGTACTCTTACAGTGTAAGTATTCATATATTTCAACATATCCTAGAAAATACACTAAGTCATATTTTCAAATACTTCTTCTCTCTTAGTGTCTCTATTCATTCCTTCTTGAGCTCCCAATTATACTTGTATCAGGCCTTCTCATGGTATCTTCCATGTCTCAATCACTCTATCAAATATTTTTACTTTCTTATTTCTTCGTAATATATTTCAAGTAAATTCTTAAGCTCTGTATTTTAATACTAATTCTTTAAAAAGAGATATTTACCATTTAATTCATCCACTGAGTTTTAAATTCTAATGATTATATATTTTTAAGTTTGTAAATTCTATCTGGTTCTCAACAAATCTAGCTAGTCAATTTTGGTAGTTTATAATGTCATACCCCCTCCCATCCATTTCCATCTTTTCTTTGCTTGAATATTTCTATATAATATAATGAGGTTTCTTTTCTGAAATGGTTGGAGCAATATTTCTAGTTCCAAGTGTTCTCTCAGAACCTTACCTGTCTCCACTAAGAGGTAAAATCCACGCTGCCTTCTCTCAAGGCTACCCAGGCCATTGTGCTTTCCTTGATTAATGGAATGCTACAGAAGCGATGATGCATGACTCAAAGGCTAGGTTAGAAAGGCCACATAGTTTCTGCCTGGCTCTTTCTGCAGCCACCATACTATAGAGAAGTGAAAGTTGGTAACTCCAGCTAAGGTCCCATCACAGCCAGCTTTTACCATTAGAACTTTGAGTACATGAGCAGTTAGAGTACTGCAGCAGTTGGCTGTTAGCCTTCGAGCCATGTAGCTGAGGACCCAGACAACATGAGCAGAGAGAGATCATTCGCCCTCTGACCCACAGAATCCATAAGCATGATAAATGGTTATTTCACATCATTCAGTTGGTATCTGAATTTCAACAGCTGAATTTCAACAGCTGAAGTTCTTTGCAGTCTCAACCCATCAATCTATCTCTTTCCTTTTTTCTGACTTTTGTTTACTATATTTGGTTTCCTTACGTATTTGGTAACTTTTTTTTTTATGTTTTTTTTTTTGGGTACTGGGAATCGAACTCAGGACCTTTGCAGGTGCCAGGCAGGCGCTTATGCCCCTGAGCTATATCCGCAGCCCCTTGTATTTGGTAACTTCTTTTAATGGAGAATGCATATTTGGCTGAAGTTAATCTATAGGTATCCTGAGGCTGTTTGCCTGAGGATGGATGTTTGCCTACCAAGAGAATTTCTGTTTGTTTTGGCTGGGTCTTGCAAGCCATGGGAACTACATTTATTTTTATCTCTTCTTAAAGTTACACATACTGTATAGGTAATAGAAATTTGAAACCCATACTACAAGGGGTGCAGGCCTATAGCTACCAATTCTCAAGGGAGGTTTTTAATTTTTTTTCCACTGAAAGCCATGGTTGCCTTGGTCACATGTGACTTTTTCCAGGCACATTCATTCATCCTACAAATATTTTCTGAATACCCTTTATATGTCCCTGTAGAGGATATGAAATGTGTTCCTTCACGTGATATGTTTAAAATCTTCAGTGGTGCCTGCATAAGGCTTATAATTTAGTCTTTAAAATCACCTAATGGACACCTTTTAGAGTTAACCAGAAGCTCTCTAAGAACAAGCCTATTTTTCCTTTTTTTCTTTAAAACTCATAATGACTGTAATTGCATAACGTGCACAGAAGATATTCAAAATATTTTTCTTTCTTTCTTTTTTTTTTTTTTCTGGTACTGGGAATCGAACTCATGACTTGCGCTTGCTAGGCAGGCACTGTGCCACTGAGCTAAATCCCCAGCCCCTCAAAATATTTTTGAAGATGACTAATAAACAACTAATAATAACCTGGTAAATAATGAAAACAGTTAAAGTTAATTACTGGCAATAAGAAATCTACTGAGAGATTTGTAATTCAAAACACCCATTCAAAGTGGTAACGTGTTTTAATTTTCTGTACAAATCTAACCATATTTGAAGAATTAAAGAATTTAAAAAATGTTAATAAGCAGCAGTATTGGGATGGGCTAACAAGAGAAACCTCATGCTATTTTTATGTATGCATCTTCTTTGGTAGTTTTCCTATACCAAATGATTACACTGGGTAGATCTGAGGATAATCAGGGGCAATTTTCATTAAGGCCAAACATCCACCATTTTTAAATTCTAGAATCAGAGTCTATTAGGAGTAGGAACAACTTTGTAGAGCACTTAAAGTTCTCTTCATAGGAGGAGAAACTGCAAGTCTTTATAAATGGGTAAACCAAAGCTCAGGAAAGTAAAATAATCAACAGGTCAACAGCAGGGCAGGAACTAGAATCCAGCATTCCTGACTCTTAGACAAATGTTTCTGTCACAGAACTTTCTTCTTGTTCTATACAATATTTCTTGGGAAAAATGGCAACTCTTGCAATAAATTTCTCTGTATTCTAAATTTCTTTCAACACTATACATGCAGGAATAGATGCCAGAGATCTTCTAGTCTAAGTTTACCATTTTACAGACAAGTGATCAGAGGTTCAGAGGTTCCCCATTCACTCCTTATGGAATTTAGTTCTCAAAACATCATAATTCCTTCACCCTGTAACCTTCCTTTGTTTCTGAACTTTTCAGCACACTCTCAGTTCTCTTCCTTTTGATCTTATGTTCCATTTCTCCACAGAAATGTAATTCTGACGAAACAAGAATGACTCCCATGGTGTTTCTAGAAAAATTAGATCAGAATTCACATTAAAAAAATCTGAAGGTAAGTTATCACCTGAATGGACTCATGGTTCCAGGATCACGCACTGTTTAAAATGCTTCTGCTGGGGTTGGGGATATAGTTCAGTGGCATAATGCCTACCTGCCAAGTGCAAGGTCATGAGTTCAATTCCCAGTACCAAAAAAAAAAAAAAAAAAAAAAAAAAAGCTACTGTTTACCTAATTATTTCATTCTTAGAATTTTTATTTAGTTCCTTTACAGATGAGACACACAGCTCCATGGTGGCATTACTACTACTGTCTGAGATGTAAATTGTGCCTCTACAATTGCAGTAATAAATATAAATAACTCTAGACCACAATCCTGTTTTCCTTCATCTCACATAGGCAGGTATTTTCAGCTCTTTTATACTGTTATAGTCGAGTGGAAATGAATTAAATTTTTCTCTTTTAGCCTTTTAAATCTGTGAATAGCAATATTTACCTATTAACATATCAAAACGATATTAGGGTGGTTCTAGTCACTCTCACATTTCAAGGGCATGCACATCAGTAGATGTGGTGATAATGAAGCAGAGTATAATGGAACTCCATGACAGAAAATCATCACTTAGACATGCTGCAGGAGTTCCACGGCAGCAGTGGTTACAACCACCTGAAAAGCATGCCTGTCACCTTTATTTGACTGTATTTAACAGGCTTTTAAAAAGTCCAGTGCTGGACAGCCTGTCTTATTTCATGAGTTAACCTTCCACCTGGAGTCTTAAGGTTACTTTCAAGAACACAGAAATTTTTTGTTAACCCAAGGTTCATGTTCCCCTCCCATGGCACACTGGCACTTGGTACAAATGTACAATGGGTACATACTTGGGTAGTGATTACCCAGCTGTAGACATTTCCTGGGTCTCTTCATCTAGATGGGGCCATGTAACCAGATCCACTCCATAGGCAGAAATTTACGCATGTCACTTCTGAACAAAGCAGTACATACATGCAATATCTCTTTCCTTCTGCGATGATCCTAGAGGCCACCACTGAATATGACAGGGTAACAAGAAAGAAGGAGCTCGGATTCCTGATCATATCTTAGTGGAAAGCCCGCCAACAAGAAACATCTACTTTAGAATTTGTTTGTTTTTGTTTTTGGAGATACGGTCTCACTGTGTAGTTCAGGCTGGCCTCGAACACATGGCAATCCTCCTGCCTCAGCCTCCTGAGTGCTGGGATTACAGGTGTGCACCACCACACCTGGCTACTTTAGAATTTGTTTAAGTGATGAACAAACCATTGTTATGTCAAGCCTCTGTGAAGTTGGGGTTATCTGTTACAGTTTATGGCCTATATTGACTAAAACAATAAATATGGGTTAACTGTTTGTATGGAACTCTTTTAAAAGAAGAGACCCCTGAAGAACAACTCTTAATAATTAGGCAAGAGAAAATAGAAAAGAGATACAAATAGGAAAGGAAGAAACCAAATTATCCTTGTTTGCAGACAACACTATCATATACTTAGAAGACCCCAGAGATCCTACCAAGAGGTTTTTAGAGCTGATAAATGAATTCAGTAATGTAACAGGACATAATATCAACATTAAAATTAATTACTATTATCAGGAATAGACTAGCAGAGAAAATCAGGAAAACAATTCTTTCCACATAGCTTCAAATAAAATAAAATATCTATGGATCAATCTGTCCAAGAAGGTAAAAGACCTCCACAATGAGAACTTCAGAACACTGAGGAAAAAAATTAAAGAATATGCTAAAGAGATTGAAAGCTATCTCATGTGCATGGGTTGGCAGAATCAATATATATTATCAGAATGGCCATGTTACCAAAAGCAATCTATTGATTCAGTGCAATCCCCCAACAAAATGATAGTCTTCACAGAACTAGAAAAAAACAATCCTAAAATTCATATGGAAATAAGACTTAGAATAGCCAAAACAATCTTAAGCAAAAAGAACAAGGCTGGAGGCATCACAGTACCGAATTTAAAATTATACTACAAAAACAGCATGGCACTGGCACAAATGACAGTACTAATGGCACAGAATAGAAGACATGCAAACAAATTTACGCAGCACAATGACCTGAATTTTCACAAAGGAATCAAAAATATATGTCAGAGAAAATACAGTGTTTTTAACAAATGAAAAACTGGATAGCCACTTGTAGAAGATTGAAACTAGATCCCTATCTCTCACCCTGTACAAGAATCAATTCAAATGCATCAAAGACCCAGTTATAAGACTTGAAACTTTGAAAATGCTGAAAGAATACATATGGGAAACACCTAGGGGCACAGACAGACTTTCTGAATATGATTCCAACAGCACAGGAAATAATAGAAAGAATCAACAAATAGGATTACATCAAATTGAAAAGTTTTTACACAGCCTATAGAGAGAGCCTATAGAATGGGAGAAAAATTTTACCAGCTACTCTTCTGATAGAGGATTAATATCTAGAATACATAAAGAACTAAAAAAACACCCAAACATCAAGTGTCCCAATCAATGAATGGGCAAATGAGTTGAACAGACATTTATCAAAAGAAGTACAGGTGGGCAATAAATATATGAAAAAGTGTTCAACACCTTTTAGCCATTTGGGAGATGCAAAGCTATACTGAGATTCCATGTCACCCTACTTAGAATAGCTATCATTAAGAATACAAAAAAAAAAAAAAAAAATCCTGGTGGGATGTAGGGGAAAAGGAGTCATTCTACCTGGCTAGTGCAAGTGTAAATTAGTACAGTATAGTCACCTATGGGAAAAAGTAGAAGTGCCTCAAAAAAACCCCCAAAATATAAATAAGAAGAAAAATAAAAAATAACAAAAAGTAGGGACATACATAGATCTTTTCTAAATGGGAAGAGATCAAACAAAGGGAAGGAAAGGGAATGAAAAGAATTGAGATGTGTTATATACATGTACCAACTCACCACAAGAAATATTATATAATATAAATAGGTACTAATAAAAAATAGAAACTGAAAACAGAGCTAACATTTGACAAAGTTATGCTACTCCTTAGTATATATATACCTGAAGCAATTAAAGTCAGCATACTATAGGGACATCTGCATACTCAGGTTGATTGCAGCACAATTTATTTTAGCCAAGATGAGGAACCAGCCCAGGTGCCCATCAACAGATGAGTAAATAAGGAAAATTTGCTATCCATATACCAAAATATATAGCTACAAATACAATAAAGTAATATTCAGAGATAAAGAAAGATGAAATTCTGCCATTTGCAGGAAAATGACCAGATCTGGAAACTACTGTGTTCAGCAAAATAAGCCCGACTCAAAAGAGACAAAGTTTGCATGTTTTCCCTAATGTGTAGCATCTATGAAAGATGAGAAGAAAGTAGAAGGGAAGCGATCATTAGACGAGAGGAAAAGGAGAAGCAGAAGAGGGTGGAGGCGTAAGCGTAGGTAATAGAGGGTGATTAATATCTAGCTCCCTGAAGCCTCATATCCTGACAGGGGGCGTTTCTGGGAGGTGACTGGATCACAGGGGTGTGATACTCACCAGTGGGTTAGTCCACTGACGAGCTTACAGCTAAGTATGCTGTTGGAAAGTAAAGCCTGGCTGGAGGAGGTGGGTCACAGTGTGTGGACTAGAAAGGTGTATCCTCCTCCCTCCTCTTTTGATCTCTCTCTGCTTCCATATACCATGCCATAAGCAAGCCTTCTCTGCCATGTCACCCTTCCTTATAGCCAACCATGAACTGAAATGTCTACAAACTATGAACCAAAATGAACCTTTCTCTCTTTAAATTGTGGGTGCTGGGTATTATGTCTCAGTGAAAAGACCTGGGAACCGCAAGCCCCACTCTCAACTCATGCCAACACCTGCCCGGGTCCTGTGCTGAGCCAGGAGGACCTGGGAACCATGCTCCACCCCAAGGTGCTGGGTTCTCCACAGCACAGGAAAACAGAGGTGACAACCAACAGATTGACCCATTTAGTCTAGTGGTATGTTTGAGTTCCTGCACTGCTGCCTACATCCAAAAAAACTAGTGGTCTGAATTATTGTAGGTCAATATAAAGATGACGTACTTGTCTTCACTAAAAGCAGTCCCCTTTGACTTGATTAAAAGCTATTTATAAGTGGTTCCCATGGGTTTCCATTTCCAGTTGAAATTTGATGCTACTGTTGTCACTGAATTTACTATTATACTAATGTAACATACTAGTGGTTGGTTTTCTCTCTACTCTGATACCCAGATTGCCTGGGGTGGTGGTGGTTCATAAACAATGTTGTTTCCATGATGGGGCACCAGGCCAAAAAATTTGCAAATCCAGATAAAAAACACCCAAAGAAACAGAAACTTAAAGACAAGGTAACATAATGCCTCCCAAAACTTTCAATTCCCTCAAAGCCAATTTAGGGGGCATTGAGAAGGAGGAAATCATAAACTGCAGGGTGGATAGCTCTGAAAGAGTATCAACAGAGGTAAAACAGTTCAATAAGGTACTTATTGAATTTAAGGAAGTTATAACTCATCAGCTAATGACCTTACTGAAACAAATGATCAGTGAGTCTAGAGAAGACACTACAGAACAGCTAGTGAATGACAGAAAGAGACAGAAACCATGAATGTCCAGCACAGAAAAGGATGGGAGTCCACAAGAAAGTTCCAAACAAAAATCCAGCACATTAAGAACATGATCAAAAGCATGGGTTACAGAAGTGACTAATGTGAAGTGAGAGTATTAGGTTTAAAGCACAAGACTGTGGTCAATGATTAACTAATGAGATATACTTTAAAAAAAACAAGGGAACATGAAAAATGGACCCAACAGCTTCTAAATTACTCAAAGAGGACTAACGTTCAATGCCACTAGTCATTTGAGAAATGCAAATTAAAACAACACTGAGATTCCATCTCACTCCAAGAAAAATGGCTAGCATCAAGAAATCAACCAGTAACAAATGCTGGTGGGGCTGTGGGGAAAAAGGAACCCTTCTCCACTGTTGGTGGGAGTGTAAATTGGTACCACCAATCTAGAAATCAGTATAGAG